GGGGGGGGGGGGGGGGGGGGGGGGGGGGGGGGGGGGGGGGGGGGGGGGGGGGGGGGGGGGGGGGGGGGGGGGGTGCTCTCGGTGCCACGTGGTTGTGCTAAGGCACTGGATCTTTTTCTTGAGTGCTGCCGCCGCCTTTGTTCTTGGTTTGATGTGGAGTGTGTTGCTGAGTTGTGATGCGCAGACCTGCGGGACTAGCTGCAGACAGCGTGCCACGGCTTTTTTCTCTCGCGTGTTGGAGAAGTTTCGAACGTATCCGAGTGTGTCCTGTCGCCCACTGAAGTGGGGCATGTTGTCCGTTTTCAAGGGACTAAATACTACTACTGTTACAACGGAAACTAAAAATGTTGCCAGACGGACTTGCGGTAAAAAAGATGATACGGTGCTGCCGCCATCATCTCATCAGCTAATGGTTTGTTACTCTTCATCATTTTCGTGTCGACAATGTCGAGTATGTGTTGAAACACCTGACTTGAAACGCCTGACCCCCCGTCGGATCCATGAATCATAACTTGCGGAGGTACTCGTTCTTATATAAATAAAGAAATCGAAGGCACACTGGGTTCTTAAAACCACGAAACGGTGGGACCATTCCTGGAACCGTTCGTAGAAAGTGATTGGACGTGAAGTCTCTCTTGCCCAAAAAAACGAGTACAGTGTTCATAGCTTTCTCATGAAAATTCATTGAAACTTCTTGTGCGGACAAGGATATAGTATTGATGTTTGGGATGTGCACCCCGCAGGAGGGAGCAACCGTTCAGATGAGGTGCTCCTACGCGTGACGGACGGAAAGCAAAAAAAAATAAGGGTTGTCTTCCGCCGCTTGTTCTAAAAGGGAAAAAGCTGAGGGACGGTCGCGTCCAGCGGCGTGGACGAAACTCCGCAGCCTACATTTATTTTCAATCGTTCTCTCGATCGTATGCATACGCACCAGTTTCAGCATGATACAAAACTGTGCGGGTGGGTGGGAAAGAAATGAAGAGTCACAAGCAAGCCCAGACGCCCTTGCAGACTGTTCTTTCTCGCCTCACAAGACTCAGATTTCAACGCATGCATGCGTCTCTGCAGTCTTCTCCTTTGTTCGTTGCCTTCGAATCTTACATCTGGTATCGATCGTCCCCCCCCGCTTGACCAAGGGGGGGGGGNGGGGGGGGGGGGGGGGGGGGGGGGGGGGGGGAGAGAAGAGAGGATCATTATACCCTCAGGACCATTCCACAGCACCATCGGTGTAAAACAGTCACCGCACCACCCCGACACACTAGCAAGCCATGCCTGCCCCGACGCTACCAGCGGACTGGTTTTACCCTATGGAATCCGCCTTTCCTCCCCCCTGTCCGCCCGTTCCTCGGTCTCCACTCCATAGTTACCCAACGTACCACATCGATCTCGGGCATGTCCCACTTCTTAAGACGCCCGAGCTTCGGCAACCGGAACGATATCAATTACCCCATTTTGTAACCTGTAACCTGTCCCGGCTGCCTCGCCATCTCTCCCTCCATCGAACGCTAGGGTACGCCAAACCCACTCCGCATCCCTCCCCCACGGTCTTTGCCCATAACCTCCGCGCTGCGATACAAAGGCACGCCGAATCTGTGTGTACGGCCGGTACTGCGTCTCACCGACAGAACGCGTCCCTCCTAATCTGAATGGAGTACAGCGTGTGTGCGCCGACGCCGACAACGGCAATCCCGCCTCCAGCATCAAAGTTGAAATGATTCACAGCGTGCACACACCGAATCTCATTCGAGAGTTAAAAGCTATCCATGCTTGCATCACGCACACACAACATCGTAACGAGACAAGTCTACACAAAACAGCGACGCTTTCCAACAATCATGCGATTTTTGATCGTACAAGGGAAAAACAAACCTACCCTACCTTCGCGGACAAAAAAACGTCATAACACAACCAGCCCTACCAAGACCATATGAAGTGAGCGAGCGTACAACAAGCAAGTGTAGACATTTCATTTTTTACACACCGACAAAAATTATCACGAAAAACACTTACAGCAGCAGAGCATATCTATTTCAAGGGAAACATGAGAGTTATCCCCACCTCCGTCTTCAATCGTGCCCGGCTTTTTGTCCCGGCCAACGAGACATACTACGAAGCCGAAAATGGCGGTGGCGTTCTGTCGCAACTCTTTTGCTAAGAATACCGCACGACATTCAGGGTACACGACCTCTATACCCAAACATTTCACCTCATCAACACGAAGAAGCGATTCAACAACCAAAGACTCTCGATAAAGAACCAGCGTAAAAGTCAAATCCCACCACCACCCCGCAAGCTAGATACCAAACCGCACGCCTAACGACATCTGAGGGCGATAACCTCAACCTGTTAGTAAACCCTACTAACCAACTTGACCACTTCACAAGCTTTGTATTAGTTAAACGAAGCCGGAGGTAAAACCCGGGATTCCAGCTTCGAATTGTGCACAACTAACGACATATGAGTGTGAGAACCCCAACCTTTAGTGAACCCTACTACCCAACTCGATTACTTTACAAAAGCTATAGTTAAATGAAGCATCTAAGCTTCGAAGCAGGCACAACAAGAACACACAAGACCAAGCACAGATACGCTAACCTCTCATGTACGTGCACACGCACATGTCTTCTCACACCGCGTCCCTGCATACCGTTCCACTCTCGGCATGCGACGTGCGTTTACATTGAGTACACAATCCCCATGTGCTGCAGGTACGACGGGACACTCAGCCGAAACAACTTTAGGAAAAGACGCCTCTAGAATTGGCCTGTCGCGCAATATTTCGCGACAAGTACCGCTTGCTTGCATAGCCGTTTCGCCTCTCTGTTGAAAGCGGATGGGGCACCCCCGGATCACCCAGGGCGGACGACGATTTAGGCCGTAGGGCGGCACTGCGAAGCGGTGGTACGGTCGGGAGGCCAAAAATGAAGGCATGCGGGAGGATAAGAGGGTGACTGCTGCCAGTGAGGCGTTGTGGGAGGAGGAATACGCTTGGCAGGCGATCCCAGGCAAGACCCAACCGCTTGGCCAAGGACCCGCAAGAGCGAGCAAGTAGACAACATCATCTTCCTGCGCACGTTCGCCAATAACGTGAACGCACACCTCAAACAACAACACGACGCCACAGCAGTAGCCGCTTCGAATGGCACGACACCCTACTGTACATCAGCAACCACGAAGCTTTCATCAAGGAAAAAAACGGCGCGCACACAGAATTTCTGACTCATGACCAGAGAGCCCGTCCAATGCAGCCTCTTCGATTGACACCCTTACCCTTTTTCAAAAAAGCCACATCCAGGCATTTCTGAATTGATGGATGACTAGGGTCCGGTCCGCTCAGCGCCGCCGCGTACCTGTGAGTACCAGTCATTGTCGGGGACGCACTTGTAGCCCTCCACGCAGCAGGTCGAACCCTCCCAGTTGCCACCGTCGCATTGCCCCCATGCTTCCGCGCACCCGTCGGACAAGGGCGTGGTCGGCTCGGGCTCGGGCTCGGAAAAAGGCGTTGCCGGCGTGGGCGAGTTCATCGAAGGCATGATCTTGTAGAGGTCGAACGCGTTTTCACCGCCACAGGTCTCCCCCTGTTATGGTGGAGGTACACGGGGGACGAGGGCAGCGGCGGGTGTGAGAGGGAGAGTTCACAGAAAGACCGGTCGGTGTATGCATGCGCGCAACAATGGAACGACAAGTGAGAGCCAACAGTTTTTCTCATGTGATTTGGGATTTATCAATCGGTCCTTCAGTCGCGAAACACGTGAGTGTGTGGTTGGGGGGTGTTAGGAACGTCGTCGAGCAACAAGGCTTTTCTAAGTATTTTTTTCCACATGGGAACAATTTTCTCCACTCATGTTGTTTGTCACCTCGTCTCCCAAGCAGCCCATGTTGCACATCGCCGTTCCGTGGCGTTCGTAGTCCAAGTCCTCGTCGGCCGAGCAAAAGCACTCGAAGGCGTACTGGGTGGCCATGTACGCGGCGCCCATCTCGGAGCAGTATTCGTAACAGAACTAAGAATTTGAGGAACAGCGGGAGGGCAAAGGCATCGCAGTGCAAGTCAACACAACAAAGTTCCAGGAGCGGTCGCGTGCGTGGCCGTGCAGAGTGCACAAGTGCGATGCAAGTGAACACGACAACATTCGATGAGCGGTCGCAACAGCGACGTCTTCGAAATGTTTTGGTCTGGCACGTCGTGTTTCTTCCCACGCCTACACTTCCCACAACAAGGAGTACGACATCTCATCCCGTCCTACAGCTGATTCTGTACAATCTACTCTGTCGCAGGAAAACAAACACAAATAGAAACATCTCCAGAAATATCTCATGCGCGGCTTTTTCTTTGATTCTCACATCCGCGGTCATCAGGTCGGAGTCCAGCTTGTCTCCCAAAACCCGGTCGTCCTGTCTGTCCGTGTAGCAGCCGACGTACTCGTACATCTCCATGCCACCGTCAGTGCTATCGTCGTCGTCCGCTTCGTCCACGGGGTCGGGCATCGGCGCGTCCACCGGTGTTGGCGCCGGGGCCGAGCCATCTGGGAGGCAGCAATTACGGGCGGTGGGTGGGTGATGAGCGGCAGCGGTAGCATCTAGCGGGAAGGAACGGCAACAGGAAGCGCGTGTAGGCCGCCACGATGACACGGAACATTTTTTTCTCCGAAGGGTGAGTGGCGCGAATGATGCTAAGCTGCAGTCACGGCGGTAGGTGGCACTTCCCCTAGAGACGGCGGACGAGCATCAAGTCCCAGGTATTTATGACGAGAACACCATTCTTCTCTTCTGTTCTCACCGGATGTCGTTTGAGCAGCTGCATACAGCCCGCCCAACGAAGTATGTACACCGTTTTTCTCTTATGTTCTCACCGGAGGTCATGCTGAAGTCAGAGCAGGCCCAGAACTCTTCCGGGTACCGTCCGTGCGTTCCGCACACGTAGCGGTCGAGCTCGATCCAGTCCCACTTGTTCGGGGCGCAGGAGCTCGGCCATGAGGGCGGGTCGAACTCCTCGTACCCGATGTGCTTGCACGTGTTGCCGGTGTCTATTGTTCGCGGACGCAAGAGAACCGGGGTGGGGGGGGGAGCGTCAGCAGCCGTTAGACGCGGATGCACTCATGCGCATATATGCATGTGTGCTCTTTCAAAGGGAAGACTTCACTGCTGGTCGGAACGCGAAGCAGGACGGCGCTCATATTTTTTCAATAAGAAACACTATTGACTCACAGTACACCATCTGCAGGATGCAGTGCTCGCACTCGATGTCCGGGAGCACGTAGCGCATCTTGATGTTGTAGCCCTCGATGCTGTTGCTGCTCTGCTCTGTCTCCCCCTCGCGGCACTCCGGGTCCACGTAGTAACGTCCGGGGTAGTTAGGGTCGATCGGGCTGGCGTCCCCGTCGTCACCGGCGCGGGTGAGGGGGTGCATGTTGAAGCACTCCTGGGTGGGTACGCCGTCCGGGTCGTCCATGTCGTCTGTGTTGCACACGAAGAACTCGCAGTGCCCCTGCACGCGAACAAGACAACCAAGAATAAACCAAGGAGAGGGGTTTTGGATGGTGGGTGGGCGAGTGGGTGGATTTGTTTGGTTTGGTGGGAGAAACTCGAACAAATTTCCTGCTTCGCGGATGGGGGAGAGAAAGGGTTGTTGATGTTGTGTGCAGGAGCTTGTGTGCTGCTTTTTTCGCTTTTTTTATTTTATTTTTTAATCCAGAGTTCCAATGTTTGGATACGGATCCTTGGAACGTGCAACGTGTGGCTGGCAGTGGCACGGCATAATGCAGACCTCCAACACGAAATATGCAGACCATAATTATTACAACCATCTTCCTGCTGCTGCTGCTGCTGTTGGATCATTCAGAGAGCATGGGCTGTTTCAAGCGTGCAGTGGGCACTCTTTACTCACCCAATGGTAGGCGTTCATGACGATGTCCATCTCGAGCACTTGTCCGCTCGTGAAGGAATCGAGTGGATCCCAGTTGATGTTCGCGGTGCTGTAGACGTTCGTGCCTTCATCGGCGTTCTGCGAGAAAGATCCGATAGATACCAGACGAGGCAAACGCAGTGTGTGATGCGTGAAATGTAAAAATAGTATCAGGAAATATACTTGCGCCGATTGGATTGTGTGGTCCGCACATATTCTAACGGTCAACGTTCTTACACGAGAACGTGCTCATCAGGTTGGGGATTTCCCAGCCTCATGCGAACGCAGCAGCAACAGTCGCTGCGTTTTCCTCGCACCATCACCACGACTTGTTTTGTTTCGAACAGAGACCACGCCTTTGGTTCGTTCGCACGAGGGCGCCTCTTCATGAAGTCCACACGAAATTTTGCTCCTAAAAAACGCTGTAAAATCGAGCGTACATGCATCAACCAAACAACCTTCTCTCTCTCACTCTCTCCTCAAGCAAGGCGCCTCGCTGTTACAGCAGTAGATAACGAACCGCAGGTTCAGCCTTATGCACAGCAGAGTCTTTGCTAGATTTTGGGATCAGCAACTGACACGAGTTTAATGTGAAGAAACAACAACAACAACAGCAGCAGCAGTCTCTGTCCCCCATCACAAACCACGAAACCGGACTTACGCACCTGTTCCGGGTCGCCACACACGCCGTGCCTTTTTGCAATCTCGTTCGTCTCGAGGTAGTTCCCGTTGTCCGCGAAGTCGCCGAAGTAGAGGGGGAACTCCTCCCCGCCGCCGTACGCGTCCAGGGTGGCGCTGTCCACGTTGTCGTAGGCTCTCTGCTTCACGTACTTGGGCCCGCGAGCGTTGTAGCAGTGGGGGCAGAACTCGACTTCCGGATCGTCCCTGTTGCGTCAAAAGAAGGTTCGCGGAAGCAACGGTCAGGTGTGACGACCGAGAGAAAGGGCTGTTGGATCCTCTGCTCCGAAAGTAATAACTCAGCTGCAGCAGCAGCAGCAGCCGTTTACGGTACTCTCAAAATCCGGGCTTTGGGGGCTTTCACATGATATGCGGCCAGGTAGGCGAGTGAAAGAGAGAGGAGAGCGAGCGAGCGAGCGAGCGAGAAAGTGAGAGAGACAGAACAGCTGGGGCCGGACATACGTCCACAGCAGCAGCAGTCTTGCTGCATGTACTGCTGCGCTTACAGTGTACACTAGCCCACATAACCTTTGGCCCCAGAGAACACGATCTCTTCAAGTCAGCGGATGTGCTCTCACCATGCTTTGAAGTCAATTCCACGCGATAGCTGCCGGGACATCGGATACTTCTGCAAGATGTGGGCAAAAGACACTTTCACGAATCCGGCCGCGAAGGCAGCGATGGAACCAACGCGAGTCATGGCAACAAAGAGGGATAAGGTGTGTGTGTGGTGTATGTGGCCTCGGGTGTAGAAGACTACAAAAGAGAATGTGTCGAGAGTGGGGATGTGAGATAGACTGCGCGGGGCAGGACGCGACAGCAAGGGAGCTGCTGCTTCTCCTGCTCTTGTATGGATCCGTTTGTATTCGTTGACTACTTTTTCATCCGTTGCCACACGATCAACCACCGCGACCAGCATTCTGCCACAACACAGAATCTTGAGATGATTTTTTTTGCCCTCTAAATATGACACAACGAATCCATCTCTTGGATGTTTCCGCGAAGTACTTGTGTTCGGAGTTGGTACATTCCAACGGAGATTCCAACGGAGATTCCAACGGAAATCTTTCCAACGGCACCAGAACTTCCGCGAATATGTTCCGCGTGTTGTCTCCTGCTGTCGTACTGCGGTGCAACTGCTGTGACATGTCTTCACGCACATAGAGCGTTCTGTTCTCCGAGCCTGGTCCAACTGACGCGGAATCCTCTCGCGGCCACAACAAGCCAAGTGATCATCGTTGGCACCCGCCCGATATATCATTTGTCTGCATGTAGGCAACGAAGAAATGCCAATAGATAGTCCCTGAATGCAAAGCGGTTTATGTGAGCATCGTTGGCACCCGCCCGACATATTCGGCAGCTGGAATCAGTCAGCATTCATTCATCATCCATTCGCGTACGTAGTATGTCTTTCTTTAGTCGACGAGTTGAGTATGGCTGACTACTATTTGTTGATTGTGTGAACAAGTACACATAGAAGTCTCGCTTGGCCTCGGAGGACTCACGTGTGTGTATGCATAGATAGATACGTACATCTCGCACCTCCTCCTTGCGTATACCGTCAGATATGCTCAACCGAGACCGTTCAATATCCATTCTGATAATAATGCCGTTGGTTGTGCAACACCGGCAAGTAAGAGTGCAGTCCCCGGGGATTGTCTTTGGCCACTTGCACGTCACAACCATTGACCTGACGACGGGTGGGTGTGGATACGTAGCACCAGACATGCATCATCCATCCGCACGTATCGGCCCACCCGTACCATCTAGTCCATACCTCCGACAGGAAGTAGCTCAACGGAGGCCGTTCATTTTTTATTGAAAATGTACCGTTCGCTGTGGTTGTGCAAAAACACGCCGGGTAGACTAGACTAAATAGGAGTACTTCGTATAGACTAGACTATATATCAAGTGTCCAGGATACTACAGTCAGTCATGACTACTTTGACTACACTGCTTGAACACAGCAGTCCACGTGGATATTCTTGGGTCACTTGCACGTCACAACCTCTGACGGATGTTGCACAGCTCGATCCAGCAGAGGCTCCCTCGCTGTACTGCTAACGCTGTAGCTACTGCTAACAATGTACATACATACCAATAAGCTCTGCTGTAGAACGAACGATAAGAAAAACGGACGACTATGGACTCTTCGTCGACGCCAATATGGACCCTGGCTACTGTCGGAGACAGAGGCCGGTGCCTTGGCAGTATTATCCCACTGCCAGGGGAAGGCTATTTCCTCTCGTGATCGGAGTTTTTTCCGCGCGCGAAGCGCGCGTGCGAAAAAAAAACCGGACCGATAGCGGAGTTTTTTTTTCGCAAAAAAACTGTTTTATGGTCAGTCCAGGACAATTTGTCCATTTTGGTTTTAGCGATAACTTTCGAACAAAAACGATTTGGAAGGTGAAACTGCTTTGGCCGTGACGGCGGCGTCGAGCTGCGTCGATATCCGATGAGTTTGTTGTGTTTGGACAAAATGCGACTTTTTGGTCATAATGATCCACGGAACCCCTACCCCCCCCCCGACCCCCCACTGGCCCCCTAACCTCTTCACGGAACCCCCAAATCACACTGTAAATGTCCGGTAAGAGCCCAAACACGCTCTGAACGGGTAACCCTCGCCTCACAGGACACGATTTACAAAAGCGAACACCACGACACAAACACACAAAAATGATTATAATTAAAGTGAACACCACAAATACAAAAACACAAACACCACGACACACACCTCCGTCCACGCTTGCGCGTTTCGGACAGCTTATTTTCCTAGGAATCTCACCAACAACCTAAACGCTTCCTTCAAAGTTAAAGGCGACCGCGACCGCGGGCGCAGCTCGCGCTTTTCGCACAGCGAGAGCAGCGCCCTTTTCTGCTTGAACGATTTGAAATTCTTTTTCGCCCTCTTAATCGACTCAGTACGCAGCTCCTGCGCGGCTGCTAGCGCCTTCTCCTCTGCTTTCTTCTTCTCCTCCTCCGTCTTCCCTGCCCCTGCCCTCGCCAGAACCACGGAGTCACCCCTCTCCGTGGGGGAACGGTGGCTCAACCACTTCTTGAGGTCGCGGACCTCGAGGTAGTCCACCAATCCCTCGTCGTAGGCCTCGAGATACAGCCACGTCACCCTGCTCCACCCGCGAACAAACCCCAGCGGGACGCCACTCAAGGCGCCTGGCAGAATCTCAAGCATATGCGGGAGAGAGTACTCGCAGGAGAGGCGAAGGATGTGCTTGGCGTATCCCCAGTACCGCTCGATGGCGTTGAGCTCTGGGTGATACTTCGCCAAGAATATGCAGATGTGCCCCGCTTTCTTGAACATCTTTTCGATCTTGTTGAGCTCCATCTTGAACGCCTTGAGCTCTGCAAAAACTTTCCTAATGCAGCAGCGACGCCTCATGCCGACACGGTTGCCAGCCGCCCCGCCTTCTGTCCCCTCCTCTGGCGAGGCACCGTCTCCTCCACCGTCCTGGTCTTCGCGCGCAGCATCATCCAACGCCTGCTGCCGTGCCTCTCCGCCGCGGTTGAACGCGGTTATTGCTGCCTTTATTGCCTTCCTTTCCTCTTTGCACGCTTTGCACTCGAGAACCCGAATGGGAGCCTGGCCAGGAACGTCCCACAAGCCCATCTCCATGAGCAGCTGCTGTCCGCCTTTCGCCTGGCCGATCAGGCCTGAGGTACGGCCGGTAGTCCGTACTTTTTCGCCCGCATTGAAGTCTCCAAGGCTGCTGCCGATTTTGGGCCTCTTGTATTTTGGATCCTTTTTCGCCGCCTCCCTCTCTTCCTCCTCCAGCTGCTCGGGCGTCTTTGCGGCGTAGACGTGCGTGTCGAAAAGAACCGTATCGCCCTCGCGAAATGTGGCGTGAACAAGGTTCCCCTGATCGTCGAGGAAATCGTCAAGAATGACCTGCCCCCCGCCCGGCTTCTTTTGGATGTGGCTAGCCACCAGTGCGCCTTCCTCGTACGCGGCGTGCCCCGTGGAGTTGTCGAAGACCATCACCATTGGGCGGTGGGGCTCACTCGTCAGCTCGTGGATGGCGATCAACCCCGGAATCTGCTTGCACATTCTGTCGTTGGTCCAGTACCCGTCCGAGTTTTGCCCCACGGTCATGATAACCGCCCCGGTGCGCGGGTCGTTCTTGGTTTTGGTCACTCCGCAGTCAGCTGGCATCGCTTTCAACAACTCCACCGCATCCTGTACGAACTTGACGGCGTGGCCATCCTCCCCGTCGCCCTCCTTCCTGCTTAAGTAGATCCCAGATCGCTCGTAGCGTTGACGGACTACGAAACACTCAGGCACGTCCCCGTCCCCGGTAGCGGGCCCTTGCGCGATGACTTCAACCGCCGGAGCGTACCCGACGCTCTTGTCTTCCTGCATCATGCCCCAGGCCTCCTTCCCGATCACCGCAACGCCTCTGTCCACGCCGATGATGTCAGACACGTGCACGGCCCGCCCTTCCCCCTTCTTCTTGATGGCGGCTCCTTTTTGACCATCCATCCACTGGCAGCCGCCAT